AATATTACTTATAAATAATATTAATTCAGTAATCAAATTATAATTTTTTAAATATTAATTACCTACCACTTAAAATATTATCATAATGAAATTAACTTCAAATACCTTTATGACGTGTGGTTCTTATTAATGAAAACACAATTTATTTGGAGTATTGGTTAAATAATTACGTACATCTCTTTAATTAATATATGTAGACAAATTTAGTGATTACATTTTTTTTCAAAAACTTATAAATTTTATTAACTAAATAATATATGCACATAATATTAACACATTAATTTAATAAATAAGATCATAAAATTATATTTAAAAATTATAAATTTAAATTTCAATAATAATATATAATTATTATTTTGCGTCTACGTTACAAATTAATAAATATTTAATTTAATGAAATATTTGATATATAAATATCTTACAACCATAACCAAAATATCCCAAATATACGTACACATATATATATATATATATATATATAAAGAGAGGGCTGAGGTTTGGTCGGAAGAGAGAGAAATATCAATAATGACGATGAGCACAAGCCTCCATAGTCTTCCTTTATATTGGCCTGTTTAAAAACAGTAATCATCATCTTTGTCGGCCGCTTTCTTCATTCTCTCCTTCTGCTTCTTCTTCTTCTTTAATTTCTCTTTCATTCTCTTCGTCATTTCTTTTCTTTATCGCAGACCTTTCTCTTCTACCGTCCCCCACCTTCGCCGGACATCGGTAGCCTCATGCTTCTCAATTCTTTTCCGCACAAAAACCCATCAACCCAACCTCTCTTCTCTCTCTCTCTATATATATATATACATATATATATATATTATAGCATATATAGATATATACCATGAGCAGACATCACCAAGAAATGGCTCTGCAGAGAAGCACCACCACATACAGAGCCAACAGAAAAGTCACCCCTTCAACTTATACCCGATCTACTTCATCTATTGCCTTTCTCCACTCCCAAGAAATCGACTCCCATAACCTCATCCTTCGTCCCACGCAGTCCTCCCCCATCTCCTCCTTCCAACGCCTCAACAAACTTCACTTAACATTCTCCTCCGTTCTCCGTTCTCTCTTCAGCTTCGTAGCCTTCCCCACCATCATCTCTCCCACCACCTGCAAATGGATCACTGTACCATCTCAACTCTCTCTCGGCCGCAAAGTCACCGGAACTCTCTTCGGCCACCGCCGCGGTCATGTAACCTTCGCAGTCCAGGACGACCCACGGTACGACCCCGTCCTCCTTCTTGAACTCGCCATGTCCACGTCAACGCTGGTGAGGGAGATGTCTTCTGGTCTGGTCCGGATTGCTCTGGAATGCGAGAAGGTTTCGCAGAACGGCGGTCGGTCGGGAGGGAAGTTGTTTCATCAACCCTTGTGGACCATGTACTGCAACGGGAGGAAGTGTGGGTACGCGGTGACGCGCACGTGCACGGAGACGGACTGGCACGTGCTGGGGATGGTTCGGAGCGTCTCGATCGGGGCAGGGGTTATTCCGGCAGTGGAGGACGGGCGGAAGAAGAACGGTGTTGGTGGCGATGGTGAGTTGGTTTACATGAGAGCCAAGTTTGAGCGAGTCGTTGGGAGTCGTGACTCAGAGGCGTTTTACATGTTGAATCCGGATAACAACGGAGGCCCTGAACTCAGTATTTTTCTACTTCGAGTGTGAATGTAGAAAAGTATTAATAATTTTAGGTAATAATTAAATTAATAGTTGAAGATGATTAATGGTTGTTTGGTCGCTTGTACGATTTATTATCTTCTCTCTCTCGTTTTTTTTTTTTTTAAATTTTCATTCATACGTATCATATGGATTGGGTCTCACCCTTGTTTTCTCTTGTTTAATTAACAACTGTAGAAATAAATTTTACGACGAAAAAAAAAGTAAATAAATTTATTTTGAATTTAAGGATTTTACAACAAATTATATATATATATATATATATATATTCATATGCATGTGAAGTGGATATATAGGATTACTCCATACACTAAAAGCAACAAAATGGTATTTTATCGATTAATCTTGCTAACTTATTAATATCTACAAAGTATATGAGGAAGGAAAGTAAGGAAATATCTTGAATCCCTACAAGAGGCGCAAAATTGGATAGTTGCCATGCGAGAGAAACCCTATTAGGGGTTCAAAAAAATGTTCCAAAATAATCGACTTAGAGGAAAAGAAGTTATTTATACCTTGATTAAATTAGGTACACGAACACCATAGCTCTATAGTTGCATTTTCTTCTTACGGGTTTAATAAGATGGTGCGTTTTGATTTCTTCAATAAAATGGGTTTACGCACACAATCCATGCGTCCAACATAATGTCCAATAATTTGTCCATTGTCATTTGTTAGTTACATATAGTTACTGCACTTCTATATTAAATTTTCTCTCTAATGAGATGACAATCTAGCTCAATATTTAGTTACTTTGTGGAATATAGGATTAACAACTATATATATAGTTGCTGTATTGTCACAATAAAATTTTGTCCCTTCCTCATGCTTTACTTAAAGGTTATTTAAGAGATATATGATATATGTGAGTTCACAGTATACACTGACCATAACTCTGTATTCTATTTCCACTGATGATTTAGACACTGTATATTGTTTATTAAATTTCCAAGATACTAACGAATTTTCAAGCAATATAAACTATCATGTAACATATTTTCTAGTGTCATGGAAACCTGATAAGTTACTGTTAGTGTAGGCTTTAGTTTAATTTAGACATATTAGAATAAAACAAATACTGTTTGGACATTCCTTTAACATACTTCAACTGTAAATGCCCCAAAAATACCAACAAAAAAAAGATGATAATTTAAGTGCGGAAGCAAAATAAAAGGGTTAAGGTTTACATTCCTTACATAATAACTTAAAAATATTAAATAGTATTACGAAATTCACTTTTTTGAAAGAAACATAAGAAATAAGGAAATAAATATAAAGAGAAAATATATATCATCTATTCGCAATCTTCATACGGATTGGGCTCCAGAACTTGGTTCTCTTGATCTGAAATGATTAAATAAGGAATGAGCCTACACTATCCTAGTAAAAATATCACATTATATCACCGATACAGGAATAAATGTGAGTATAAAAATAAAAACAATTAATGGAGCGCTAAATTTAGTAAATTCATTTATCAATCATAAAATTATTTACTGTTCATTTACCACAGTGGAATTTATGAAAACAACCTATGCAGATAATAATATCATACGGATCATAATTTCATGTAGGATCGGCAACATAGCACATATCATAAATCTATACACATCATCAAATAACTAAATAATAACTGTCACCTTTTCACCAGCCTACTAGTATCCATGAGGATTCATAGGGATGTTCTCACTACACGTGACATCTTTCCTTTAACAATCTCAACTACAGGTCGTCCTCATACCCCATCCGGTATGAGCACCAAATTATTAAACCTCAATACCCCGTCCGGTATGAGGGTGAAACAGACCGTCCCCATACCCCGTCCGGTATGAACACCATATTATCAAGTCTGTATACCCCGTCTGGTATGAGACAACGTTCACGGTAGGATTCTCTATGTACTCGGTCCATCCACCATCTCCTAAAATATTTAGTAAGGCTGTCGTTCCATCTGTTTATTTAATCACACAACTTTTTCATTTTGCTCCGGTCAACCTGTAGAGAAGAACATGGTGATCACAACAGTGAAAAAATTACATAGAACGGAAATCGGAAAGGGCCTCATTGGAGGCGTTTTGTGAAATTCCCTGCAACAGTGCCACCGAGCTTTGCCGACGCTTTTCGGTCAATTGGCTGGTCATTTTCTTCTGATTTGGCCACGGGTGAGCTTAAAATTGAATTTTGAGCAAAAGAAAAAGTTTTTACCTTTTTTGGCGGTCGGAAAGGGTTCCGGTGCGGCGGTGGGTGGTTGCAGCTCCTTCTCGGCGGCCAGGTCTTCTTCTCCGGTGAGGAGTTCTGGCAGCTAGGGTTAGGATTTGGTGCGAATGGGGGTTATTTATATCCGTCCGCTTTTGATTTGGGTCATCCATCGCGTTTGATCTGGACTGTCCGATTGCGATTAAATAGGGAGTGAATCTGGACCGTTCCTCGCGATCCAATCTAGGTCATCCATTGTGATCCACTCTGAACCGTCCGATTGCGTTCAAATCTGACTGTCCGAGCGCGTGGGAATGGATTTGGGCCGTTCGATCGTGGGCACGCAGATCGCCCGCGTGGCACTGCGTCAGCGTCTGTTACCATGCGGCGTGTCCTGATTCACCAGGCCTGCTGACCAAGCGTCTGATGTAGCGAAACTTCCCAAAATTATATTTTGATCCATTTTTTCTGTTTTTTCTTTAAAAAATACTCCCAAAACCTAAATTTTCACCCCTTTTTTCCTAAAATTATTTTCAATTTAATTCTCAATCAATTTTCCTTCATTTTTATTCTAAATTAAATGAAAAATAAATTATAAAAATTATATTTATAAATTTTAAATTACATACAATTTATTTTAGGATGTTATAACTCTCCCCCCTTTAAAGAAAATTTGGTCCCTCAAATTTGTTTCTCACTTTCAATCAAACAGTTGGAGATATTGGACTCTAAAGTTTGATTCTATCTCCCACGTAGCCTCCCTCGGTGTGTGATTCTGCGATATGACTTTTACAAAGAGAATTTATTGGTTGCGGAGTAATATGCTCTTTCGATCTACAATGCCGATCGGTACTTTCTCGTAGGATAGATCCTCCTGAAGTGGAAAAGGATCGTGAGCCAAGACATGAGAGGGGTCCGGGTTGTACTTGTGTAGCATGGACAAATGAAACATATTATGGACCTTAGAAAATTCTGGAGGCAGTGCTAGTATGTAGGCAGCAGTACTAATTCTGTCTAAGATTTCAAATAGTCCAATAAATCGGGAGTTCAGTTTTCCCCTATTATCGAACCTACTGATTTTCTTTAAAGGAGTGACCTTAAGGAACACCCGATCGCCTTTCTCAAATTCCAAATCCCTCATCCGGGTGTCTACATAACTCTTCTGTCTGCTCTAAGCAGTCTAGATGTTTTTTCTGATCTTAACTATTTTGGATGTAATCTCATCTACCAAATATGGGCCAAACAGTTTTCTATCACCCACTTCTTCCCAACGAATTAGTGATCTGCATGGGCGCCCACATAACGCCTCATACAGAGTCATGCCAATACTCGCTTGGTAGCTGTTGTTGTAGGCGAACTCTATCAGGGGTAGATGGTCATCCCAATAGCCCCCGAAGTCAAGAACACAAGCTCGGAACATATTCTTAAATGTGCGAATCGTCCTTTCTGACTATCCATCGGTATGAGAGTGGAATGCAGTACTAAGAGACAACTTCGTTCCCATGGCTTGCTGAAAGCTATACCAAAACTGAGAAGTGAACCTGGGGTCTCTGTCGGACACTACTGTCACTAGCACTCCATGTAATCTGACTATTTTCCAGATATACATTCTTGGTAATTTATTCTAAGGGATCGGTCATCCTGATGGCCAAAAAGTGAGAAGACTTGGTAAGTTGGTCAACAATTACCCAGATGGCATCATGTCCTGAGTGTGCTTTAGGTAATCCTGTCACGAAGTCCATGGTGATATGTTTGCACTTCCACTCTGGGATTAGCAATGACTGAAGTACCCCGCCTGGGCGTTGATGCTCTGCCTTGACCCGTTGACATACCAAACACTTAGAAACAAAGTCAGGTATATCTCTTTTCATCCAATTCTACCAAAATCGGAGTCGCATACTTTGGTACATCTTAGTGCTTCCAGGATACATGACAAACTTTGAGCTATGGGCCTCCGTCATAATGTCCTTCTTTAACTCACTGTCACTTGGAACACACATCGTGACTTGGAACGTAAGCAACCCATCGGCGGAGACTCAAAATTTTGAGTTAGCTCCTTGTTATACATCTTTCTTAAGGGCTGCTAGGGTGAAGTCGGCGAAGTGAGCTTCCCTTATTCTCTAGATTAACTCAGGGTGAACGGCTAAGTGGCCCAAATATGTGACTCTCCTTAGGTACTGAAGCCATATCTGTTGTGTGACCCCTATTTGCTTGCATTCTGAAACCATTAATTGGGCTAATATACCTACATTTTTCCTGCTGAGTGGTCGGCTACCACGTTGCCCTTACCCGGGTGATAAAAGATGTCGCAATCATAGTCCTTGAGAAGTTCTATCAACCTTCTCTGATGTATGTTGAGATCCTTTTGAGTGAATATATATTTCAAACTCTTATGATCGGTATAAATCTAAAAGGTCTCCCCATACAATGGCGCTAAGTTTTAAAGGCGTGTATGATTGTGACAAGCTCTAAGTCGTGGGTGAGATAATTTTTCTCATGACTTTTCAATTGTCTGAACCCATAGGTTATGACCTTCCCATGCTGCATCAACACACAACCCAGACCTAGGTAGGAGGCATCACTGTAAATTGTATATCCACCCGATCTGCTCGACAATGGCAACATAGGTACAGTAGTCAGCCACTTCTTTAGTTCTAAAAAACTTCTTTCACAGTTCTCGTTCCACTCAAACTTGACATTTTTCTTCGTGAGTCGAGTCAAAGGAGTAGCTAATTAGAAAATCCTTTCACAAACTTGCGATAATAACCCGCTATTCTCAGAAAACTATGGATCTCTTTAACTGATGTCAACTTTTGCCAACCGATAACTACTTCAATCTTTTCAGGGTTCACTGACACTCTATCTTTTAATATGATGTGTTCCAAAAAGGTGGTCTGTTCAAGTCAGAACCCACACTTACTCAACTTTGCATACAGCTTCTCTTCTCTAAGAACTTG